AAATCCTACGTAGCATCTTGGCTGCTAGTTAATAGATTAACCGATTAATCGCGTACAACAATTATGTTTCAACCTAGCGTGCTAACGTGATCATTTCAAAGCTTACCTTCGGCAAAGAAAACGCAGAGGGTACCCACAATGATAAGTCGAGCCAACCCCTTCATCATACAAAAATGTATGTTCGGCGTCCCTCGAACATCGAATTTACTGTTTTAGCAATGCTTAAACGACGGTTTCTTGTGGATAAAGGGTTGAGTATCTGCTCGAATCGTGGAACGTGTTTTATGTAATAAGACGACGCCGTTTCGGGCGTAAGGTATGAATTACGTCTAATCTGGGTTATCATTTACCTTGGCGTCACGCGCGTTGCTCATGTCAGACGATGTTTTATTGAGTAATTTCTTTACAGATATGTCAAATAACAGCTTTTCCTCAAAGCGTCATTGCTGAATATACAATCGTTTTTAATGATTTGCAAACAATCAGCGAGTGAGACCAGTCGATGAAAATCAGTTTCCGCAGGGAAATTTTTTGGACCACGCTATTCAGATGATCAAATCAAATGATTTAAGATCCCAATCAGTGGCTTTACTATAAGTTCTTGTTTTGAATATTTCTGCCCAACTAAATGGTGTAAATTCAACAAAATCAATAACTATGTACACATTTTACATTAGCAGTCTACAAGATATATGCCATAACATCACGCATTTTCGTAAGATCTCAATACAATCGCATTTTTTCAAATGCAGGGACTATTTCTTTCTTATTTATTTTTATTTTTATTATTATTGAAATGTAAAACAGTTTTTAAAAATATTTATATTTGTTTTAAATTCCTCTATCTTAACGAAAGAGCATCCTTGGACGAGCAGCTCAAATTTAGCCCTGGTTTCTGTTTTCAGGCATAAAAACATATATATTTATTGAAAGAAATGGCCCCATCCCTACCTCTCTAATGTCTCAATAATTTTGTCAGCCCAGTCCTCTCGGTGAGATCTTTTACCCGATCTTGCTATTATGCAGGAACCTCCAGGAGTTCTTATAGATGAATAAGAGATTGCAATGCACGTACTCTAAAAAAATACACAAACAACAACAAAAAAAAAAAAACAAACAGAACAAAAACAAAGAAACAAACAATCAAACAAAACACAAAGCACGAGATATCAATCACCTGTCTGATCGTTGAAATTTAATTTTATGATTTTTTTGCTGCAACTACTCTGCTACCGCCATGATCACGCTCCTTATCTTCGTTTGGCGCTTAAAATATCGTTGGATGAATTTGTGAATATGCTTGGATCTCCAGTTGTTCAGAAAAACACAGCCGTCTCTTATGATAGTGCAATTGTAGGACTAATTACTAACTTCTGACAGCTTCTGAATGATGCAAAAAACTGGCAACTGTTCGGGGTTCTTTCATATATCTTCGCCGCTAAGATCAACGAACACAAAAATTTAAGTGCCAAGTTGATCGTTATCTCAATGGTTTCCTTACTCCTTAGATATTCCACATAAACATCAATCGTTTTGAGATTGTTTACAACATATCTGTACATGAAAGCTGTCTGCTGACCGCAGACTAGGAACGAGTTTGTGACAACCGTGCTGCGACGCTTTTGGGCGGGAAACTCTGGAATGATACATATAAATTTTATCCATCAAGTCTCTAGTTAACAATTACAAGCTCGAAAATTTTTTTTGCGCGCGTGATAATTTATGAGGACAAGCCCAAATTAACTATCGCGTGTTGCAATCACGAACTGATGATTTAATTTATTTAGTGTAAATCCACTGATATTTCAAAATTTGACAAGAAAATGTCATGTCTTTATTTCATTTTGTTAACACCCGCGGTCACACTCATCAGTACATGCAGGAGAACTTCGCAAGTTTGAAATACTTGCTTAGTATCCATTGAGGTTAAATACTAAATTCCAGCTCCTACTGGCTGAATGCATGCCACGTTTAATTATGCAAGAACTAGTTATGTCTCAAGTTTCGAGACAGCGCCAAGATTTAGGGCTGTGTTCGATCGGCAACCTACGGAATTCATCGGAATTCAACTATAGCGATAAAATTTATTTATGACGAGTATACGCCCACGTGTGTAACCAACATAGCTACCTGTATCGCACAGGTTGCATTTAAATTGGTACACTAATCAACAGTGCGTAGGGTACCAATTTAAATGTAACCTGTGCGATAGAGGGAGCTATGTTGGTTACACACGTGGGCATTTATATGCCCGCGTGGATAGCCATAAGAGCACGTCATCTTCAGTACGCAAGCATTACGACAACGACCACGCAGGTGCTGTCCCTGAGGACCTTCTTAGCTGTTTCAAAGTTCTTAAGAAGTGCATGAACAAATTCGATTGTCTTGTCACCGAGATGCTTTACATCAAACAATTAACACCGAGTTTGAACGTGCAAACGGATGTTATCCGTGCTTAAGTATTTGTGTAGCTACCTCCCCTATGCAAATTAGTTGTAACTCTTGAACTCGCATTTGTTAATTTTATTTTCATTCGTACCCTTGATAATGGCGTCATGAAGTCGGATATTATATCGTTCGCGTTTACCTGTCTATGTATTTCTAAATCTTTGTTAATATAGTGTCTTTATTGATTCAAAAAGATAAATATCAAAATTTGTAAAGGAGAGGTGACTAGAAAATTTGTCGGGGCGCCGGCGATTTAATAATTCACTTAACTACTCAATAATGACACACATTTGATTTGTCAGATATGAGGGGCGTACCTGTGGTTAGGCTTTAGCAGACAAGACAAAGCTCATTGCAAAAAAATATCTACAAGAATAACATAACAAATCCAGACTGTGTCCTCTGATTTCAAAAGTCTGCTAGCAAAATAAATCTGTATCTATATCGATAAAACATGGGTATATCAAAATATGAAATAAACAATTTTTAATATAAGAGAAAAATCGAGTTTCCATGCTCACTTTGGGGGCTGGTTGGCTGCATGTGATGCTTAATGCATGTGATGCTTTAATGTGACAGCGTAATGCTGTTAGTGAGCTTCTATGCGCTAGCTGATGTTTGGCTGTGTAGCCGCGTGATGCGGTTCCAGTCAATACCCATACAGCTTTCAGCTATAATCGCTCCTGGCTGCGGCGTCAGTTTTTCTGAGTTGCTTGCTGTCAGCTATAATCGCTCCTTCATTTTCGAGCACTGTCCTGGATCCTACGTTGCCTATTTCGCTTATATATATATCGGCGATCGCCGATCGCCGCTGACACAACCCCCTCCACTGATGAATCCCCACACGGTATAAGCAATCCATACATTCAAGTTCCATCTGACACTACCTGTACAATCTGTGGTCGATCATTCAAAACTAACAAAAATCTCAAAATTCATTTCTCTCATAAACATAAAAAGCAGAAACCATTGCAATCCACTAGTCCCGGATTCTGGCCCTGTAGGGCTGACATAAGATGCAACTGCTGCAAAACATACGGGCAATTTACAGGGTCAGTTAAAAGCAGCACTACAGGAGAAACGATAACACTGCGACAACACACGTCATGCAAGACTAGCAATGTGATATACCTGAT